CTTTTATTTCGACGTTTACCTTTTTTTTCATTGTAGAGTGTCATATGAAACCACTTAGTTGACTGCTTATTTCCTATTCATCGTAATCCCATGCTAACCCAATGTTTGGCCATGAGAGCATCTGCCCTCCTGCGCCTTAGATGCTTTAAAGCGCGGCTTCTTTCAGATTTCTACTTTTGCATTATTGAGATAATTGTTATCTGTTTGAAGTTTATCCGCTATTATACGATCTAAATAGAATCAATTGCCTCCAAAGCTATCTCTACTCGAAAGTAATGTACCATTCTCCAACTTCATCTAAGTGATGCTATGATACTACAAATAGAAAAGTTAGAATTCGATCAAGTGTAATTGCCAATCAGTTCTACTCTCGCTTGTATGACAGTGACTTTTTTGCTTTAACTTCTTGTTTCCCTGTTCGATGAAACCTCTTCACTTCTCTGAGAGATCATACAGAGGATGTTTCAAAATTCAAAATTCCGTTAATTTTTGGTACTCCTTTATCTAGCAATCCTCTTGAAATTTCTTAATCCAATAATCTATGGAAAAAAGGTTTTCAGTACGGTAGAAAATGATTTTGGAGGACGGTCCTAAAAACAAGCATCTCTCAATCTGTTTCTCTAACACTTATAAGGTTGATTATGCATTGAGCATATCAAATCTCATTTTTCTAACCTCATAACTTCATTCTAAAACTATGCTGAGCTGCGCTGATTCCAACTATCTCATATTCAAAGTTCATCCATAATTACCGCAAAATTGAACAGAAAGAACATTTTGCAAAGAGGAAGATTCAATCCCAGCGGTAACTACTAGTCTGTTGAGTCTAAAAATGTTTAAAATACTATGAAGATGCCAGCAACCAACAATTGTATTGCGCTTCCTATAATATATCTTACGCCTCATCTTGATGAATCCGCCCTTGCAACATGACAGCAGAGAAGAGGCAAGTTTTCGAGGGTCTACGGATGTTCTCCGTGTTGTTGACAAATTGCGACAAGTGTGCATCACTAAATGCTTTGCCTTTCGTTGTTAGTTTAGTAGAAACGAAGTAGAGCCAGAAATAGCACGAGATGCACTTAAACCCGGCATTGTTTTGCTCTTTAACTCTAGAATCAGAGATTCTAGTACCAACCTGAGTGAAGATCAACGGATCTTTTCGTTGTGCCTTAAATGAATGAAAAATCAAACTTATTTTTAAGAAAAGTTTGTCTAAACGAAATAGTTTCTTCCACCGACTTTCTCTTCCGCTTGACACTTTTGTAGTTCTCTTTTCGTTAATTCTCTATTTTCAAAATCATATTTCATTTTAAAACGAGATAAAAGAAAGAAGCATTACGAATCTCTTGTTAGCAACCCCTTACATAGTGATACTTTCCTACAGACTGTTTTGAGTAAGTATGTTTTAATCGTCCTTTGTGCTTGCAATGTTGTTTTTTTCCCAAGTTTTGTCCTGGTCATAAGTCCAATCGTCATTTGTTCGTTTTAGTCGAAGTCGAGGATTCTCCAAGAAGAGAGAACGTCAGAGGAGGTTCTTGATCAAGAACAGGTTGCCTCAATTTGTTGTCTTTGTCCTTTATGTACCTTATATGTGTCTGTCTGTATTTTCAGCAAATGAGTTCACAAAAAGTGTTAGCTGACGCGAAGAAGGCCCGTCCCAGCCCAATTCCCCGTCAGCTAAGGGATGATCTCAGCCAAGATAGTCTCTTGAGCAAGAGCTCTTTGGAAAGGAGCGATTCTATGTCAAGTATTCCTTCAATAGATATGGACAAAGATTCTAAAGGAGAAGTGAAGAAAGTGAAGAAAGTAACGAAAACAAAGAAGAGCACTACAAAAGACGGCAAAACCAATGGAAAAACTGCAGACGGTAATGACAAGGACAGCAGTACAACCGTGAAGAAGAAAGTGAAGTCGTCCACTGAAAGCAAGGCAGAGGCAGAAGATGCCACCTCGTTGCGGTCAAAACTGAAGCCGACTCCAAAAACGGAGAAGGTGGAGGCAAAGCCTAAGCCAGATGATGAGAATAGCAAAAGTGAGGCAAGACCTGTGCAGAAAAAACTGCGCCCAGCTCCAGGCAAAAACGCCGGCGACAGCAACAAGCCGGCCAAACCTCCTCCCAATGAGGCTGACGATGTATGTGTCAATTATATAGGAACATCACTTAAAATATACTATTCCTTCATTATTTCAAAAGCCTTACGACCTTTCCACTATTTCAACGAGTCCATCATTTTGCGATATGTTTACCCATATAACATTCAAGTTGTGGAAAAGATCCAGCATTGAAATCAAAGGATTTTCCGTTACTATTTGGAATTTCGTGATCTAAAATGCTGGACTCGTAAATAGTTCGCCTTTGCACGCTTTTCACCTTTGCTCAAATCGCTGACAAAATGACTTTTTTATTTTCTCCTTCTTGCTCCTCCAAATACCAAATTTACCTCAACTCACAGGATTTCTGCTAGTAGAAAATGCAGAACTCAGCTGCCTATGTATTCGCGTACTGTATCTACGGTATGTATCTTCTGCAGGGACTGTATAAGTTCTCTCAGGGTGGGAGAGTCCCATAGAAGAGAATGCCATCACTACAAAATCCTTCGTGTTTACGTCATCTGTTCCTATGTTCCATGTATGCTGGCACGATGCTCGTTCCCCGCACCCGTAGTCTATCCTTCTTACCCCCATGTACCTGTGTTTGCATCCATCTCTTCCATTTAGGATGAGAAGATGAAACGAGTTGGACTCTCACCGCGACCCGTTGAAGTTGACGCCGCCGGTCGAGTATGCACTACTTACGTTCTCAGCTCACTATCACAAATCCTCATGCATGATAGCACATAACCCACTTTGTTGCCATCAGTCAACCAATTATTTGCTCAAACCCGCTTATCTCACTGAAGCTTTTTATTTTAGAAATTTTTTCTTTGATGTTTTTTAAACTTACAATCTTAGGGTGAATTTGTCAGCTTTAGATCGATCCAAAGGAACTGTTGAAGGGGCGCCAAGTTGGCAGGAAGATGTCGGCGCCTCCAGCACCACAGAGTGACGGGAAGAACTTCCTGCAAGGCATACAATTGAAAAAAATTGACCGAAGTGCCAAACAAACAAAGGATTCAAGTATGGAAAGCGTGAAGTTGAAGCCGATCGGCGATGAAGACGTCAGCGAGGCATCGGGAAGCGAGTGGGATTCTCGCTCCAGACGTGGCTCCGCCGCAATGGAATTTATGCGTCGTGGAAGCGAAATGCGACGGGATTCAAGCGTGAGCCGATGCACTTCTCCTTCTACGACTATGCGTGCCGACCTATTGCATGACGACATACTTTTCAGGAGTGAGCTAACCAATTCCTCAATGCATGACCTTACAAGTGATGAGTGCACAGATAACTTAAAACAAGTCTAGGGACAAAGCAAAACTGGGCCTTTTTCAGCGTCGCAGCAGTATTGACATGCGACGGGAATCCGTGCAAGAAATTTTGGAAAAAGTCAATACTCCTCTAGTTCCTAAAGGAGCAAAAGGAAAGCCTCCAAAGATTGTAGAAGTACCAGAAAACGTCACAGTTGTAGAAAGTGAGTTTTTTTT